CCAGTTTTGCTGAATATCACTCCTGTTAACCTGAATATCACTCAGGTTAGCCTCCAGGAATAATGCTTCAGTTTGCTTGTTAATGGCTACATGTAGCTCTCAGTGATGGAAATGGCACAATGATTCAGTTGAAAAGTGTGCAGTCTACATTTTACCCTTAGTATGCATTTTATTCCCATTCCACATAGTGCAGTCTGCAGTCTGCGTTTTACACTAACCAATTCCTGGATTTTTCAAAATGGTTGAAATGGAAATACACACACCTGTATGTCTCTGGTTTATCCTTTCCTTGCAGCTGCTTGGCTGCAGCACAAGAGAATGACGCTGCTTTTGTTCCAAAATTCAGTGCTACTGCCAGTTTGCAGTCGTCTACAATGATAATTCCAGTCTAGAGAAAAATAATCCACTCCAGTTAGAAGTGTTTCAGGGAGGTGCTGTGGCCCCAGATCGAGTGGTCTGGGTTCAACCCTAGCTGGGGACATTGTGTTCTGTTCTTGGGCAAGACACTTTACCCTCACAGTGTCTCTCTTCTCCACCCTGGTGTATAAACGATTACTGGCTACTTTAAAGCTGGGGGTAGCCCTGCGATGGAGTAGCAAAAAGTACATTGGATGTATATTACCGCATAAATTCTTTTATGATTGTTTCTAACTCTTTAGTAATCTTTTCCTGCCTTTTTTCCCTCTGGATGACAACAACATGTTTAAATAACAAACCCTTCAGCCTTGAGCAATATGCTCAGCAAAATCTCTCCTCAGGCTTTAATCTAACCTGTGCTGCATTATTTAGAAGCCTCACATGTACCTATCGTACAATTTAGCTTCCTGAATAGAAAAGTCTATGGAAACATCTAGAAAAGCCATTACATTGATGGAGGATGGGTACATGTGTATTTCTGGAGGGCTTTTTGTACTGAGGATTCTGGAAGTGTGGTGGCCTTGAGGCTAGTTCACTCAATGGCTGATTGAGCAGTCTTGGTTCAAGTCCTGGCCAGGGACATTGTGTTGTGTTCTTGGGTCATACACTTAACTCTTGCAGTGCCTCTCACCACTCAGGTATATACATGTAAATGGGTACCAGTGGATTTAATGTTGAGGGGTTACCCTGTGATGGACTAGCATTCCATCCAGGGGAGTAGAAATACTCAGGTTAGCCGCTTCATGCTACTTCAGGTGCCAGCCTTATGGGCCACTTGGCTCACCTTTTGTGACTGAGATTGGGGTCTAGGGTCAACTTTCCAATTTTTTGGGACAAGTGAAAAATGTGCATTCATTAAGTTACAAAAATCAACTTTGGATGGCTGTAAATACACAGGAAACCCAACACACTCTTCATTAATTTGCCACCGGTGACCTACATTGAATAGGCAGACAACATAGGACAAACACTTAAGTATTCTGCACCATGCGACAACCTGTCTTTAAAACCTTAACAGTCCAATCCAAAATATGATGAAAATTACAGCACTCAGCTTTCAAGGAATGAAATATGATTCATTGGATCATGAAATGGACCGATAGCAGCACACTTTATAATGCTTTCTTGGACCTTGCATGCAGTCACGTAGAACAGACATCTTTATGTTGAACTTGGATTAAATTTCATTGCATGAATTCTTGGGCACTCATCTTCAGATAGAGATCTAATGCAATGTTTCATCAATGATTAAACAAACCACCCAAACATCTATGGTAGCAAGATCTGAAATCAACTTTGAGATTGCCTGTTAGCTAATGCTAATATTTTGTTAGACATTAATGAGCTATTTTCGCCACCACATCAACAGAGATCAAATCCTTTAAGTTTATCTTCAACAACATTGGTGTTTTTGTCCTTGTACACTGCCATATAAACCAACTCTAAATTAAGACAAAAATAACAGGGAAAGTTTCAAATGAAAACAAATACGCTGGTTTTAGTGCTGATAACCCCTGAACTAGCAACATGTGAGAGGCAGAAATCAAACACCAAGATAAACATATAACTTCCAACTCAATCTGAAAAATACTTCAAATGCTCAAGCATCAAACAGTTTTAACTTTAAAACCGCTGCTAACCAAAATTGTACAAAAGGACTGCTATAATTTTCTAACCATAATCAAAGTCTGTTTCTTGATCATGATCTTCTCAAATATAAATAAATTTAAAACTACTGAAGTACATTTACAGAAAAAGCCCACCAGAATGAATGCACCTACTTCAGTCTTGTAAAAACATGTAAAGTGTAAGGCAAAACACATTATTTGATAAAATATTTCAAAGATTGACAAGCACTTAATGGTACCTAATTATGTCCTACATTCTATTCATGTATAATATTTTCACAAATCTTGAATAAACTGTGCAACAGGACGAAATGAGAGTTAATAACATTTTTGATCAGTTTCAGGCAATATTTTGCTAGATTTAAGAATGCTCTCAGTGGCACATGACACCCAACTGAAGTGAAATTAAATTTTGAAAAAAGGAAAAAAACTGCTGAAATGACATAAATTTGTGTTAAGGGAACTGGAGTCATGTTACATTGTACTAAATGTTTCACTTGTAAGAAATCAAGTCAGGTCGCAAAACAATTTTATTTTTGGTGTATACATGTATCTTATCAGACATAGCAGATCAAAAATGCCCTAGTAAAGCTTGTCAAAACAAACACATGGCTATCTAAGGGATTAATCTTTCTCTAGATTTCTCTCTCTCTCAAGGATTAAATGCTTGCCTGAACACATAGGCCTTAAAAGTGACATACCTTACACATCTGTCACTACTTACACCCAGATTCCATTCCTGTGTTATTCTAAATAAAAGCTCACTGAAATAACATTTTCTGACTAAAATGTAAACACAAATTCTAGATCAAAGAACATTTGGAAGGCATTTCGTTATTTATGTAACAGTTTTCAAACAGGGAGAGATACAGTAGTTTGACCTGCATGGAATTCACAGCTTGTAAAAAATTTAGGTTTAATTAATTATACACCCAAAAATATCCTTTAATTAAACGAATTTATATAATTGCTTTTATTACTTCCTGTCCAGGATGATCAATTTAATTAATTACACTATTTAGCTGTAATGATCTTTGATCTACCAACAGTACAAATGGAAAATTTGAATATTTCAATTGGTCTGGATTTTTTTCAAGTTTCAACAAGCAATGATAAAATAAGTGCAAGGTGTATAAATGAATCTGGTCCAATAATTTAAAAGGGTAAGAGAACTTTGCATTTAATTTGATCACAAAAATACTACTGTATTACATTGTATATCAAAATGAACTGCTGCATTGCACACCTCACAGTAATCATTCTGGCAGCTGTTACTTTCAGGAAGAATACTGACAACTTTTGGAGGTTTTGCTTTCTATAAAGAACGGTCAACTTTTGAAAGTACTTTTGGTATGAGCACCAAATTTATAACTATAATTACCATATCGGGCTAGCGAATATTGTTCTTCAAAACCCATGGGTCATGCAAAATTTTCATCTAATTTAACAGGTCCCATAGTCTATTTTTTTATTGGTTATGTGCATCTTGCAGTCTCAAATTCTTTTCACAAAGCTGTCACGGACGGAGTCTCGATTTTTTGCAAGGCAGAGAAAGACTTCAAGTACCAATTTGTTTGTTTGTTCGTTTGTTTTTATAAATGACATCTGAGTGGCGAGAGGCACTGTGCAAGTAGTGTCTTAGCCAACAACAAAACACAATGTCTTTGGCCAGGACTCAAGCCTGGACCACTCGATCAGGAGTCGAACGCCCTAACTGTGAGGCTACCGCACCTTCCACATTGTGTATACACATTATTCAAATAACTGTATGGAGAAAACTGGGTTTCACATGGGCTGATCTGTGATGTACATACAGTATGTGCATTTACTCATAAAATGTAGTGCAGCTATAGTGTCATATTGTGCATCTTTAATTAAGGGAATAAACCTTGTATCATACCCTGTTTTCAAAGGCCACTTCCACTTTATGCCATTTGCCATCAATGACACCACCATTCACATTGGACGTAATGGTAACAGTCTGTGAGAAAAGTGAAAACCGAAAGCGTACTTGTCCTTGCCACACCTCTACAGCTATAAAGTCATGTTTACCATCATAGCGGCCATTGAACAGAAGCAAACCACTGTGCTCTGTGGTTACAAATTCCAACTTGATATTTAGGCGCCATCTTTGCTTCAGTGCTACAGGAGAAACCCAAGGAAAAGTGTTGTAAATCTGCAAGTAAGCATCTGCAAATGTGTTGTACCAAGCTAAGAAAAACTCAATTAGCATTATTGTAACATTTCTAGAAAATGTGTGGTTCCAGAAAAACATCCACAGCCAGACCAAGAAGGGTTATTGGAAATTAAAAGGGGAGGGAAAGTATGAACCCAAACTGGAATTTCCAGAGGGATGGGAGGGGATTTCACACCAACCCTCCATGGGAGGGCTAAGGATATACTGTATTTTCTGAAACAACACAAAGTGCTGTAAACTTACCTGGAAATGTGCCCTTGTCAACTATCACACAATAGACATCTTGAGCTCATAATCTAATTGTCAAATAAGACATGGTACACGTACATGTTTTCTTTTTCTTAAATAATGTGTGGTTCCAGAAAATATCCATACCCACCCCAAGAAGGGTTATACAAGGGGAAGGGGTTTTCAACGGCCAAACTTCTTTAAAGGAAAGTGAACCAAAACTGTAACTTCCCGAGGGATGGAAGGGGGCGGGGGTCAGACAAAACCCCTTCCAGGAAGGGGCTTAGATATTTTCTGGAACAACACAATGTAGACTTACCTGGAAATGCGATAAAAGATCCCTTTGTGAAACTACGTGTTGTCAGCTCACACAAAGATCCATCAATGGCATCGTCATCATGACACTGACATGAGAAGCCACTCCCTTTAGAATTTCTACAGAGTCCATCATTCCTGCATGGGTTTGACTTCAGATGATTTTCCGAGGGTTCTGCATCAGTGGGGCATTTACTCTTTGACATGTCTATCTCACAGTTCACCCCTGTCCTTCCAGGATTACAAACACATGAGTAACTTGCTTCAACGCTTACACACTTGCCATTGCTCTGACAGGGGTTTGAATAACAAAGGTTTAAAGGTGTGTCACAATCTTTCCCACGGTAGTCTGAGGCACAAAGACACCTGTAGGCAGTTTGCACTCTGACTGTACGGAAAACCACCTTTAAGGAGCTGTAGGTATCAGATCTGTCAGTAAAGTCAGTGTAAGACAAGCAACTTTTTCTAGATTCTAGAAGTGGAAAGTTGCAACTCTCTTTGACACAAAGAGTGTCTTCGAACGGAAGGAGAGTCAGTTTGGCTTTTTTGGCAATCTGCACCATATTTAAGTAGATCAAATCTCTAACATACTGAGGGTCGTAAAAGCCAAAGCGGTTACCACTGATGTCAACCTTGTAAATAGTGAGCCAGATCTTCAGTTTAGAAATATCATCCTCAAATCGAGTCTGAGCCTTAATAATCTTGGATTCGATGTCAAACAATGTGACCTGCGTCGGATCACAATTCACAACATTTGCGATACCCTCAACAAGTTCCTCATAAGATGAGTCGAAGAATCCTCTAATTGTCGCATCGTAGATATCAAGGGTTAAACTGCTGTTCAACATCTGGGGTGTAACAGATGTTACTAATATCCGTCCACTGGCCCTGGCAGAGTATTTTCCATCAGAAACTTGCACAACCATTGTAACTGGTTTCCCGGTATTAAGTACAGTGGGACTTATCACAAGTTCGCCTGTTGTTCTGTTTAGAAATACCCAGTCGCCTTGAGTGACAGACTGGATCTGATACAAAAGACGATCAGATACATCTGGATCGTACGCAGGGATTTTAAAGTTTGGCTGTTTTGGGAAGTTATCATCCTTAACATTGATCACCATGAAGAAATTCTGGAGTACAGGTTGATTGTCATTAACATCTATTAATGTTACATTTACTATTGTGTCCACAAAGAATGGCGAGGATGTTGCTCGAACTTTAAGGATGTATTCAGACTTTGTTTCATAGTCTAACTTTGTTCTAGTCTGGATCAAACCATCCCGCTGAATGACGAACATCAATGGATCATTTCCTGAAACAATGCTGTATGTTATTGCACCCCCCTGAACAAGATCTTGGGACACAGCTTTGACTCTCACAACATCAGACCGCTCTTTTGCATCCTCATTGAGAAACACAATGTACGGATCTTTTTCGAATTTTGGCTTACTGTCACGAACATCTTTTAGCGTGATCTTGACCTTCACAGACGACTTCATTGATGGTCGTCCTTTATCAGAAGCAACCACAGTCAACTCATATTCTGGAATTGTTTCACGATCAAGTGACAACAATGTTCTTATTACTCCTTGAGTGCTGTCAATCTGGAAAGCTCCGTCACCATCACCTAAGGTTAGCATATTAACAAATAACCTTATAAACATACATTTATAGGTAACATGTATGTACTGTCAGTACATTTGCACTGTAGTATTAACCTTCAAACTAAGACTCGAGGCAAATGGACTAACTTGTCACCAGAACTTGTTCAATCAAACATGGCTTCCACATGCCTAAACACTCCCTATAATTCATGTGGACATGCACAAACTATACTCAGACTCTGTGTTTATGTCATGTAAACCAACACCAAATATACCACACATACAAAAACTACACACCACTGCAGTGGGGTACTGACTACTATTAAAAACTAGATCATTAGATAATGCAATTTTAGAGGTTTCATTGGCTTTTCCTTTTACACAATGTATGGACAAGATAGACTTAATAATACATACACTATGTAGATTGTGGGTACATCATACTGAAAGTTAAAATAGTAAACTTACCATCTCTAGCAAAAGAGTAGATGATAGCCTTGTTGGAGCCCTCGTCATCATCAACAGCAGACACTTGCAACACTCTAGTACCTGGGCGTACATTTTCGAAAATTGATTTCCCATAGTTGGACTGCAAAAATCTTGGTTTGTTGTCATTTACATCTGTCACTGTAATATGCACATTTGCAGTTCCAGATAATTGCGGAGTACCCTGATCTGTTGCAATCACTTCGAACCTGTACTGAGCTGATGTTTCACGATCCAAGGTTTGTGCAACAGTTATCTCGCCTGTTTTAGGATTGATTGTGAAATCTTGTTGTGACTGCCTAATAGCATAAGTGAGTTTAGCGTTCAAGCCTTGATCATTATCAGTTGCCTTGACTACAAGAACCCTGCCTCCCACTGCAGTAGCCTCGCTAATCCTTTGTCGATAAATTCTTTGCTGGAAAATGGGCTTGTGGGTGTTTGAATCTGTCACGTTGATACGCACTAAAGCAGAGCTCTCCAATTGGTTATCCCTTGCCTTGACAGTCAAGGAATAGAACTTAGTCTTACCATAATCCAGGCGGCATGAAAGGGTTATAACACCGGTGTTACCAGATATTCTAAAACACCTTGAATTTTGATCAAAGGTATACATGATGTTGCTTTGACCCAGATCAGGATCAGTAGCTGTGACACGCAGAATGGTTGTCCCAAACCTCGCATTTTCCTCTACAGATTCATAATAAACTGGCTTTGAGAATTTCGGTGGGTTATCATTAATGTCACCAACATTTACAGTCACTCTTGCTCGATTGCTTAAAGGAGGTTTTCCTTTATCCTCAGCCTTGACATGAAAAACATAACGATTGACCACCTCACGATCTAATTTCCTGGTGAGGTACAAGTCGCCAGAGTCCTGGTTAATGCCGAACGGCAAGTTAGACTCCACTACACTGTAAACAATCTGCTTATTTGTGCCATCATCGTCGTCAAAGGCCTGGACACGAGTGAAGGTGTGTCCAACATTTTCACGCTCTGAGACCAACTCTTGAAACTCTGAACTGACAAACTGTGGAGCATTGTCATTCACATCCTCAAGATATATCTCCACTGAAGTTTCATTATAATTTGGATATTCACCTTTGTCTTGTGCCGTAACAAATAGCATATGCACAGGAAGGTACTCGTAATTAAGTTCCTTACTCACTTTGATCTGTCCATTGAGGCGATTAATGGAAAAAAGTCCCTGATCATTACCACTACTGAAGCTGTAAACGACCACAGCATTGCTGCCAAGGTCATTGTCTGATGCGCTTACTGTCAACACAAGTTGACCAGGTTTAGTGTTTTCAGGAATTTTGGCCGTGTACTCTCTCTTTGAAAACTGCGGCACACAGTCGTTTACATCCGTCACTGTTATTCGAACAGTAGCTGTGTCAGTTTTAGGTGGGGAACCACCATCGCTTGCCTGGATTGTAAGAGAGTACTCCTGGACACTCTCACGGTCCAGTGCTCTGTCTACAGTTATAGACCCAGTGCTCTGGCCGATACGAAAGACACTATTTACACCTCCATTGTTACTGATGCTGTATTGGATATCTGCATTTGAGCCAGTGTCCAGATCACGAGCACGGACATCAAGAACGGTATCACCGACGAAAATATCCTCTGGTATAGACTTACTGTAGGAGGAGGCTTCAAACTTTGGTGCATTATCATTAACATCGTCAACAATAATCGTCAGATCTGCCTCGGCGTATAACGACTTGTGCTGTTCGTACTCGGCTTTCACCCGAAAATAATGCATCGGCATTTTTTCGCGATCCAGTGAAGCAGTAGTTTTAATTAACCCGCTGTCAGCGTCGATCTGGAAAAAGGACTGGCTGAGCAGATTTTGCGACGCCTCCATATTGTATCTAATTTTCCCAGCATTGCCATTGTTCGTATCTTCCGCTCGAATGGAACTTACACTCGTTCCTACATCAGCATCTTCTCCTATGTGAGCCGTTAAATAAGAACTGGAGAATCGTGGAGCCGTTTGTTGTATCCTCCGACGAAATCGCCGTACGTTCTTGTCAAAACGATTAGCGTGATTATCAATAAACAACTTAACTCGGGCAACAAGAGGTTGTTTATTTCTTCGTCCATGTTTCGCGTTTTCCGGAAATACTAAATCCACCACTAGCACTCGGTCTTGAAGTTCACGAAGAGATCTTCGAAGAACTAGATAATCCGATTTGGCGCCAATTCTAAAATACTTTCTCCAAGGCGTTTTCCTAAGTTTAAGCGATGTTGGATTCATGAGTGGTTCTCCCGTGTGAAGAATGATGTCTCTGAGTCGCAGGACACGGGTTCCGATCGGAGCTGTCCGCGGCAGATTTCGTTGTGATTTTCTAAAGCAATTTTCGCCAAATACAGACACAGTCAGTGGTCTTAAAACCCTTTCGGAAGAATTATAAATAGAAGACGACTCTACATAAACTGTGAACGGATTAAGCTGTAGAAACCCGCAGTTTGGTCTATGAATCATACGCACTAAGCCATTTGTTGAATCAATAGAGAGAACTTGAAGAGTTGTTTGAATGTCAATGGTTGAAGTTTCGATAGCATAATTCGTCCAGCCAGTTCGACTTAAATTAGCTAAAACACTTTCTGGCTCCGTCGATGAATAAATATTAATAACTCTGCAGTCCACTTGCTTGAAAAACCACAGGCATAAATGTACAATAAAAGCCAGCCAAACACAGTTGAAGCGAGCCATTTGGCGGTGAATCTGTTGTCACAGTCACAGAATCAACGCTTGTCATAAGACAAGTCGAAAATCGCACGTTTCCCCAATCACAGCGATAAGTGAACAAGACTCTGCACTTAGCGGCTCCATAAACTCGACACTAGATTGGATTCAGTCCTCATCTTTGAAAACACCACCAAATATCTTTGATCTTTCGGTTAGTTTGGTTCGAGTGTCGGCAAGGGGTCTAATTTTCTTTGAGTGACAAGTTTGATTAATTTCAGCATCTAATTGGCTTAAGTTAACCACGTGACCTCTTTATCTAGCCGCGGTAAGTCAAACAAACTATTCGCTTTTTGCTCAAAACATTCTTGTCTCTTTTATTTACAAACAAAAGAACCGCTTGACACTGTAAGAGATATAACTACCACTACTACACTTTTATTTTGGCAGGATCTGAAGTTTGAAGTAAGTGGAGATTGCCTTGATAATGAAAATTTTCGAGACCTTTCGGCGAGGAGGTTAAGAACAGCAGAAGACTTTCATGCGGAATTCCACAAATTTTGGGAGTAGACAAAATCGGAAGAGCAAGACAACTGCTTACATCAAATGTAAACTTTGAACAGTGCATCCAAAAATTCCAGCCTTCCTACGTTTAAAATTCAAAATATATTTCAGATTTATTCGTCCGCGATTGACTTGTATCTCATATCTCTGGTTCTTTTTTAACTCAAAATAACAAATACACCACGCGATAGGATCGGATCGCAAAGCAGTTTACTTGTTGAAAGATGGCTAATTAGCGAAGCGACGAAGACGTGCTCGAAAAACGAAATTATTCGTGGCTTTTCGACTCAGTCTGGCTTGATACCACACAAGATTGAAGTTCTGTTTTTTCTTTGCATAGTGGAAAAATAGAAACAAGGTTTTACGCGAAAGTCGGGCACAGGAAAATTGTCATGACAATGAATTAAACGGAACGGATGTAGCGATGACTGAAAATACCTGAGTGGGAGTGAATTGAATCATCGAGCAGAATTTTGTGGAAACAAGAGCTTAAAACATTTTAATTTACATGCGATGTAAAGTTATGTTGAGAGGACTCCTGCCCTGTAAATATCCGCCCTTGAAAAGCAGGCAAAAACTTCTGCGCTGCCGGATAAAATATTGAAATTATTTGTTAACTGGTGAAAAAAGGCGACAAAGATAGTATTTTACTTTGTTAGACTCTAACTGGATCGTGAATATATCAAAGAAAATTAATTCAAGATACTTGACAGAATGAAAATGTAATTAATCACTTAATAAACATTTGTGAGCTAAATTGAAGAAAACGGATACTTTGCCCATGAAACCGGAAATACATTCTGCAATATCAGGAGTAAATTTGCATTTTATCATCATTTGGTTATTTATGCGAAGTTTAATAAAATGAAGCAACCACACCTTTGTGTATTTTCCGATAGGAATCTTTTATAAACCGTCTACCGACTGAACTTGGCGGACAAAAATATGAAGGCTGATTTAACTGAAACAATAGCAGATGTACTTTCCCTCGGCAGTGAAAGACGAAATGTTTTACAAACCGCCGATGCTTCTTCTCCCGGCCTAGTTATGTCTTGAATTTCGTTCACTGATCCGTTCGTTCGCCCATCTATTTCTGTACCCAAATGGTGTCGAAAACATGATAGGGTTATATATCGTATCCTTTATAAACTGATGTTTGCACTGTTCTTCCGAAAAAGAGTTTACCTCAAGGAAAGATTCTCTCACGTATTTTTAAACAATAAATTGAATACGAGAATCGGAAAAGGTTAAACCTCATAAAGCGGGAATAGATTACAACATAATTTCATAAAGCCACAACGGACAATGTGAGTTTTCTGTTTTTGAATTGTTTCAATAGTTTGCGTTACCTAATAAAATTCCACGAGTGTTTTGTAAGCAGGAATTTCAAAAACTGCTCCGAACGTGAAAGAGTCGAAAATTAAATACTGAGATTGAACAATCGTTCAGTCATTTTCGTGGCTTTACTGTGAAATGCAGCTTTATCCCTTGTTTTCGGCAATGTTTAGTGAATTGAATTAAACGGATGTTTTGACGATGAAAACAGGAAAGATTTATGTTGTGGTTCGTACAAAAAAGCCATGTATAAATTTCCATTCATTTTTGAATGTAAACGATATATTCAATCAACCCTCTTTTCTCTTCTAGTTCTATTCAACAGTATGGCCACTCCTTTGTGTGTTTTTCTTCTTTGTTCTCCGCAAAGCCTTCTTAGCTCTGGTTCATACGTCGCGCTAAGCAATGGGCGTGTCGAACTCAGTTGCGAGGAATGGAAAGTTAGGAACGCGACTGCAGCTCGCTTTTGAGCGCTACTGTTGGTCGATAGTTGATTCAATGCTGTACAATGCTTATACTCGTGTCGAACTCAATTGTTCTGAACTCAGTTCAATCAAGTTAGGGACGACCATTATTTTTTTGCGGGGTTGAGTAATTTCAAAAAAAGAAATTACCATTGTTATTAAGTTTCATCGTTAAAAAATGGTAATTTTTTTTTATTATTTCTGTAAAACATATTTAAAGTCTAAGTCCATTAGTAATGCCGAAAAGGTATTATTATAAGAATTTTAAACTAATAAAGCTTAGTGCTATAGCAGGACAAGACACGAAAAAAGTCTTGACAAGTGATGATGTAACTTTTACTTTCGCGGCTAAAATTACAGTTAACATTTTTTACGACTTCCTAACGGCTAAATTTTTGGCTTGTTTTACGGCCGGCTAAAAGTTTTGCTTTTATCGGAATTTGAATCATAAGGTATTGAAGTTTTATTTTGAGAATTTCTGTTACTATACTGTAAGTTCAAAGCTCGTTTTCTGAAAACGAGTTATTTCTGCTTTTGAGAAAAGATGTTTTGAGAGGGATTTAATTTGTCCAACTGAAATTTTCAGGATTTGTTGTTCTGGGCATGAATAAGTTTTGTGTTTTAAGCATGGAACTTTTCCATTCAGTGCATTTTGTCGAAGTTATGAAACTTGTGCTGGATTTTCTGTGTCAGATTTAACTGGTCACCATTTTATGCGTTTCTAACTTTTCAAAAGTCTCTCTGCTTGGAACAGCAAGCTATTAATCTTCTTTTAAAATTTGTAAAAATTATTCCCTCTGATCAGTTCTTGTAGGAGTTATTTTTTCTCAAGTAAGCCCCTGCATTCCCCAGCAGGTGGCAAATTTAATCAGCCGGTGTCAGTTAACAATACAGTTCGAGGGTACAAAAATATTTTTTCATAATCTTTGGTCTTTAAGCTTTCTAAAAATGTATACTTTGCCATGGTTTGGAATTAAATCTTACGACGAGAAATTAAAAGTTTGAAAAAATGGCGCGTTTTTAGGTTAACCCCCGCCTTAACCCTATTGAGATACACTGATATCCTAAATAATGGAATAAATTTACGCATCTAAAATCTTAATTAAGTTAGGTCGAACTTTAGTGAAACATTTAATTTAGTTGTCAAACGTCTTGTGATATTTTCTGTCCGTGACGTGGTCTGAGTTGCATGGGAAATGCACAAAGTTATGCAATTTACGATTTAATTACTTGTAGTAAAGCCCAACATCAATGGCCACTAGTGTCTTATATTCTGCACTGTTTCCTAATTTAAAACCGGCTGACTTGTCAGAGTTGACTGCGTTCATTTAATTGCAAAAGTTAGAGTGCAAATGAACAGTAAAACTTGTCAGGTTTTTTGGTGCTTTTAACGTACTAAACGGAACCTTTGTATGTTGTTTATATACTTTCTTTCCCTTTATCGAAGGATCGAATAAATAGTATAATCTGATAACACCGCGGGTGCCAATGTCTGTTCTCTGGTGTCCTGCTGTAATAATGTAAAAAAAGAAAATGATTTATGCTTCATCTCGAATTAATTAAATTCTTTATTTGTAGACAAAACAACGCATTCACAAACGGAAAAAACAATTTATGATTTACTATTTTACCTCCCTCTATAGGACAGAACACAATATTCAAATATTTTAAAAATATCCTAACCCCAGATGCACCGAGATTTGTAGTTCATTTTGAAATTCCTTCCCTGTTTCAATAGTTATCGGCTGTTTTGCACCAGTAGAGCGCCTTAGTTGACAAGAAAGCCGAGAACGGGCCTGGAACAAGGCAAAATTTGTACATGTTGCAGTATTGTAGTGGCAACAAAAAA